GTACTCACCACTGGAAGACGTCAATGCAACGGTAACAGACCTTTCTTCCGTGTACGCGTTGCCAATTAATATTTGTACCAAACTAAATGTTTACTCTGGTCGATGCTTGCCATGAGAGAAAATGAAACGAACGTTTGTTTTCTGTCGGCTGCTGTGGTATACGAGTTAAGTAAACTTCCATAAAAAGTACCGAAAATTTCAACTCTAGTAATGTCCACTGTCTAAGCTGGTTTCTATTCATACTAGAAGTAGGCAAACTTTTGGAAATATAAAAAAACAGTGAGACAGGCATCGACAACTTTCGGCGTCATTGTTGACGGGTAGTTGCGGCCAGTGAAAAAAGAAAGGAATTCGACGCTCAGCGAAAGCGGTGTTTCAGGGGCTGGTGCTCCATATATGGTACCGTATAATGGCATGTAACATTGCATATATGTGGCATGTCTTGCTTCGAAGTCCGAAATACTTTCGAGTCCAAAGGAAGGAACGAATATTTGTAACTGTTGAAATGTTGGTGTTTCTTACACTGACATGATGGAACCAATTCTAGCACCATTGTTTGCATATGTTAATGCATGGGGCGCATGATGTTCATTTCCATCAACCGAGTGCCTTATTTTTAAAGGCAGAAAAAAGTAAACAGTTATATTACAAGCAAACTTGGTATTCTGTTTTTCCCAATCATTTATTACAGTGGTACTTATTGTCAACCTCTGAAAAGGAGACCAATGACCTTGACCGTAGCTTGAATCCAGGACCATTCTATCCTGAGTCAGTCGCTCTGCCGATCGAGCAACCACGGTCTGAAGCAATACAATGTATAGTAAATTTATGGTAAACAGAAAAATTATTCGCTGCAGGGATCGAACTCCATACCTTCAGAGTTCTAAATCGAAGCAGACCACTTTCGCTCTATACTACCACTATAATACATACCAATAGGTAGCTAGTTGCACAACTTGTATACAGTACTGCCGATTGCGGACAGCATGCATAATGCATAAATACTGAATACATTATTTTTTCTACGCGCAGCACAAACGGCGCCCTTTTGGAGGGAGGATTAAACATCCGTCAGCCCTTGTGAAGCAGTCGCCAACCGCTCAACATGTAAAGAATATTCGACAACGAAGAACCGTCAGTGGATAATCATCTTTTGGGTATAAACGTTCAGTTTAAGGTAATCATGTCAACGGCATTCCGCTAACTGGTTTGAAACGAATACGGCTAACCCGCAATGACGTGTGGCAGTGATTACTACAACTATCGGTGGTAATAGCAACTTCCGCTTGCTACTGGCGTCTCACGGTGCTGTAACTCATTTAGGGAAAATCCCGCTGAATAACGTGTTCTGAAGCATGACGCTGTTCTATAGTAGGCGAATAGTAACCTAGTTCATATGTATGGCAGGGAGTGAAGCTGTGCGACAAAGGCACTTACTTACAAGAAGTGAATTAAAGGGTACGTGATGCTGAACGCCATGTTCAACTCAGTTCGGTAAATAGAATACCGAAGCGGTAATTGAAGAGTATTATTGATTTGAACAATACCAGTATCAGCGGTATAAGATCAAACATAGCAATCAGGGTAATATAAAGATTGTAACTGCTCTACTGATGATTACCAGGATGATGGCGTATGTGATGCTGAAGATGCTGAACCCCTGACTGAGACTAAACAAACTGTGAAGGATTATGTAAGTGATGAAATGGAAGACAAGATGTAACCGTAATGAGATTAAATGAATACTAACCCTAATTTTTGCGCTATGATAGGCATGATTTTAAAGTAACTAACGGAAAGCATTGAAGAGAATGTTCAGAACGGAGTGATTAACGTAATGTATCATCTTAGTTTTTCCATGGATAAGAACAATGTCAGTGATAGAAATCAAGAACAATAAGAGCCAGATTATCGACAAAGCCACTTGGCATTGAATATGATGACAACCATTTTGCAGTTGATCGAAGGAACGACTTTTAACACAGTGATTAACTGCCTTAGATGAGGAATTCATAATCATCTGATAACTAACAAAAATTGATATAGATGATTCTGTAGACTGTGACCATTTCACTGGTAAGAAACGGGGGAAATAATCAATATTACACTTTTGATCACGACGGTAATCGTGAAGATGACGATCAATCTATTCATGATTGAAGGCATGATGCTGATGATGCCATTTAATTGATAACTATTAAGAAAATCTTCAAGACGATGGAACCGATGAAGAAGATGACCCTGGTGAAAAAGATGGTGATACAAATCTCTGATGATGAACAGAAATAACACAGACAAGATTAAGGCCAATATGGTAACGATTAACACCAAAACGAGATACATGAATGTTAATGAAACTCAAGAAAGGGATGTTGAAAGACTGATTGTGACAGACCTCAGATCACCTAATCTGCCGAGTAGTTTACAGAAATGGGTGGACCTTCCCAGCGTTGTTTCCATGATGCGCATATACACCACGGTTGCCGTTTGGTCGCGAGAGAGGATGAACACAGATTTATTATTGCTCGCATCATTGGAAATCGATGAATCCTTTTTATGAACAATTTTGGTAAATGGTCTCTTTCCGACGGAGGCCACATTAAGCATTATCGGATGTTTGGTGGACAACGAATCGCTGTTGGTCAAGCGTTACGCGATGGAAATGCTGAGTAATGAACTGGCTGAAAAGCCGCCTTGCTTTGGACAATCCAACGTACGTTTATCGGTTCCTCAATGAACCCACCTTTATAGTAAATAATAGAAACGATTAAATTTAGATGTGTGAAATCACTTGTGAGAATCGCTGAAACACTGACAACACTGATCGACGGTCAGAGGAAGTATGGTGAATTCTTACTCATCTGCCAAGTCGCTTTGCTCCCCATTAAGTTGCTGGCTCGATTCGTTGGCTCGAATAGGATAGGCATATTTGAAAAG